ACAATAATAATAACGGATATGACACTGACTCTGGAAGAGGGTTCCAAAGTAGCTTGCAGATGCACTGCAACTATTGGCAACTTGAACCAGTTTAAATAGCACGCCGCATTTATATATTTTATGAGACATGCCAAATCAAATAGATGTGTGAAATAGTGGCTGAGCTCGTCCTCATCACCTGCCTGTAGTAATACGTTATAGTAATAGTAATAGTACGTAATAGTAATACGTAGCAATAACTGTTAACAAAGCGGAAAACAATTTTCACTTTTTGGCAAAATTTGATTCTCGTTTCTGATAAATCATCAAATTCTTGTTTATTATCACAGTAGTACTTTTTCTACCTGTTCTCTCACACATTTCCTGTCATTTTGTGCATTGAGTCAAGCTGTATTGTACATTATTCTAATTTAGTGGGCAGGAACAATTAAATGGTGTATTGTATGTATGTTCCAAATTTTAGGAAATACGCTTTGTTGTTTTCTTACTGTGGACATCCCACAGAAAAGCGGTATTTACCATCTTACTTAAGTGTAGTTGAGAAGAGACAGGTGTCACTTTTGCACTTGTACATTACATTTGAAGCTACACCCAACACAAACTGTTCCTAAAACTGAGCCATAAAATCTTAAAATAAGCATGCCAGCGATAACATTTAAATTAATGAGCTTAGGATGGATCTAGGTCAGCTGTTTCTCTCTGCTTTTTGTCTAAAGTGACTCTAACTCCGCTCTTTTATTTGTTATAACTGGGTTTCAACACAAAACTGAACCAGAACAAAGTAAAATAAGTATATTTGGGATTTTTTTGACTGTTAAATGTTGGAATTTCAGATATTTCTTTTTAAGCGTGGCCTTTTAATTACAAATATTAATGTGGTCCAAACACAGACAAAATCATCAGGAGGTTTACACATTTTCCCTCATCATTGTAAAAGATGATAAATGCAAAGGCATATTCCAAAGTTAACAGTACAAATATCAGAGAAACACTAGCAAAGAGGGACATTTAGTAACAAGTAGTGAGGTTATAATGATGTAGAATTCGAGGTGATACTATGAGAGCAACCTGGATTTGCAACGTGTAGAGATTTTTTTTCCTTTTTGTTTTGTTTGTACTTTAAACACTGCCACGTATTACATACACAGCAGTTCTGTGACAACTGCGAAACAGTCATTGTGTCTCTAGTTTACGCTCTTTGTCTCAGTACAAACTCACGTTCTCCCACTCCACCAGGTACTGCACCTTCCCGTCAGGTGTGACTCGTCTCGCCAGGATCCTCACTGCCTCCCCTCCTCCCCAGCTCCTGGCCACTGTTCCGTCCCCACCTCCCATTCCCATTCCCGGTGCCCCGCCGCCGCCTCCTCCTCCTCCACCACCGCCGCCACCGCCACCTCCTCCTCCTCCGCCTCCACCTACACCACCTCCTGCACCCATGCCAGCCTGATAAGGAGGTAAGTCACGTAGAATGAGGGGCTCCAGCTGCTTCTGCCCCAGCTGGTGTTGATGTTGGTGGTTGTGCTGGTGGTTGTGATGGTGCTGGTGGAGGTGGTTGTGGTGATGGTTGCTGTTGGAATTGAGGGGGTATGGGAAGTATGTTGGTGGTAACCTGCAGTTGTCCTCCATGCTAGGAAAAGAGAAGGGGAGGAGTTAGGAAAAGAGGATGGATTCATCTGGAGTCGGTCCTTCACATATATTTTATCTAAGGAAAAAAATTAATTATAGTATTAATGAAGTTTGTAAATAACCCATATATTAATATTAGGTCAGTGGTTCTTAACCTGGGTTCGATCGAACCCTAGGGGTTCGGTGAGTTGGTCTCAGGGGTTCGGCAGAGCCTCCGCCATGACATGCAGGCTGAAGTCTAGAGGTGACCGGGCGTT